TTATTTGCTTAGAACTTTTGTACAAGCATTGATCACTCATAACACATACACGTACATAGTATTTAGAACACACTAACACAAGCTTAGTGTGTGGTTAACTATAGAAATCCCCTAAGTTAACCATTAGAGCTTATAGATATAGAGTGAGTCTCAAATCATATCATATATCTCATTTCTATGTGTTAGTAGTCGACTAATACCCTTAGTAGTCGACTACTCAAGTCTTAGTCATAATTCCAAAAACTGTGAAGTTACAGATTAGTCGACTACAATACTTAATAGTCGACTACTAAGGCTCAGTTCAAAATTACAGAAACTTTAGTCTTACAAATTAGTCGACCAATGATATTTATAATCGACTACTAAGCATGTGTTTGGACTTTACAGTATCTGAATTAACTCAGATTAGTCGACTACAAAGCATTATAGTCGACTACAGATACAGTTTTTCAGCTTTTCAGAATTTGAATATATGACTGTTTGTAATAGCACGTCGCATGGTAGGCTATTACTTAGGCTATGCTATTCGTAAGAATAACGGCGCCAACCATTAGAGGTGATCATTAACTTGATGGGATCTTGTCGCGATTGGAACGACCGTGGGGGGGGCTACCATTCCTCAGAATAGGAGTGGTAAGCGGATTTTGTCAGAGGTTTAATGTTAACTTGACAGGGAATGTCGTGATTGGAACGACTTTGAGGACCCACCATCCTTTAGAAGAGGATTGGTAAGTTGATTTTGTCAGAGGTTTAATGTTAACGTGACAGGGAATGTCGTGATTGGAACGACTTTGAGGACCCACCATCCTTTAGAAGAGGATTCATTTTAATACGTTTATTAGGTTTAAAATTCAAGTTTTTCAGGGGCTATAAATAGGTATTGAGTTCAGATTTTGCCAACCATCTTTCATACTTATAAGATTCAAACTTTGAGCAATTTCTCTCTCTTGATTCAAAATTGCATTTCGAAAGTCAAAAGTTGAAAAGTTATGAAATTGCCTTTGTTCCCATCATTATTAAAGATTGATTAGGCAATTTTTAGAGTGTTAAAAAAGGTTCCTAAGCCACTGCTACACTTCACTACACATTCAAGGCTTATAGGAATTTGTGATTTTATTTCAAAGAAAGTTTCTCTCGGGTGTGAGAGAAGATCTCTTGGTGTAGGGATTGGTTACAATTTGCATGGTCTTGCAAATTGGTCAGGTTTGGTTTTTAATTTTGCAACTGGTTCAAAATCATAGTGAAAATCTCAAACGGGATTTTCTTGGGGACTGGATGTGCATCCGGGGTGGTAGAACTAGTATAAATCTCTTGTTTGTGATTGTAAAATTTCTGTGATTATTGTTATTGTTCTTGCAATTTATAATTCACTTTACAAATTTTTTTAATAATACTATTCACCCCCTCTAGTGTTTAGTGTGAGCTTCCACAGATCTTACACATGGTAGCTTCGGAATCCGTCTTCAGCACAGCAGGACGTTTGATCGACGATCACAGGACATCATTAGATCCGTATACCGTACAAGCGGTAATATGCCTACAAGATTGATGGAGGCACGAGAAGAGAACGTAAGACATCGATCGGATGGCTGGTATTGAAGATAAATTTGAAGAGTTAGGACTAGAAGATAGATATAAAGAGTAGACATTATTTATCAAATTGTAATTTTTACTTCTTAGCTAAAAATTTATGATAAATTATTTTGGAAATAATTACAAATAATAGTGATATAAATGAGTAGGTGCTAACCTAGTTGGGATATATTCATCTATTATGATGTGACGAATTCCAAAATAAATTTATAATTGTAGATGATCAACTATTTATTAATAGAGAAGTTTTTTTATCATTTTAATTTTTATAATTATTTGTATTTGTAAATTATGTAATTACAAGTGATTAATAATATGATTGTTTTTATTAAAATTTGATTAATTTTGGCTATATATTATTGAAAATTTAATAAAATATTTAAAAAAAATAAAAATTTTAAAAAAACTAGGCACAAAATTAAAAAAAAGGGGCCCAAAATTTAAAAAAACCAGGCCTAGGTCTGATCTCTAGTCCGGCCCGTTTGGATAGGGCTAGATGCAAGGATATGACTATTCTTAGTAAAAATCTAGAATTAAGTTCTAATGTTCGAACGCATAAATGTTTAAAATTTTCCTCGATCTCTCCATAATCTTTATCTATTGTTATTTTTTCTATTATAACCTTTTTTATTGTGTTCAACTTTAAGTTCTTTAATTCTAACTTTTGGCATGGTACTTAGCGACAATCAGGATGTGCTTAACATGTTCCCGTAAATATCACATGATCCATTATTGATACATGTATCACACACAAATTGATGCAAGGATAAGACTTCTCTTAGTAAAATCTAGAGTTATGTTCTTATGTTTGGACGCATGAATATTTAAAAATTTTCTCTCTTCATAATATCTACCTATTGTTAATTTTTTCTATTATAATCTCTTTTGTTATGTTCAACTTTGAGTTCTTTAATTCTAACTTTTGACATGGTACTTAGTGACAAACAGTATATGCTTAAATTGTTCCGCAAATGTCACATGATCCGTTATTGATTCATGTATCATCCACTATTCTATTTTGACTTATCTTGAAAAGTTTCTATTTTTTATAGATTAAAAGTCTTTAAAAAGAAAGAATTGACAAATATTATGATTTATTGTCACATGTCTTTTCTACTTAAATAATACTATATCAAGAAAAATGCCTCAGGGACCCCAAAACAGGGGACCCTGAATGGGACATGTGAGGTGTCGCCTCCCTATCCCGTGATGTAATGTTCATGAACAGTGTATCACGGGACAGGGAGACGACACCTCACCTGTCCCACTCAGAGTCCCCTATTTTGGGGTGCATGTACTAGCACTCCTATATCAAACAATCAAACTTTAGAAAAGTTATGGCCAAGATGGGACATTGAGAATGAAAGTACATTTATTGTAACTAGTATAGTGCACGTGCGATGCACATGTAACCACTTTCATGTGTAAGCACAGAGGAGGAAAGCAATAGTTTAAGGGCTTGATAATATGAACTTTGACTGATGTTTGTGAAAGCTTTAAGCCTAGTCACCTATTTATCAATTTCTCAAATCTGGTTGTTGTAACTTTCAGCAATACCAATCACAACAAAGTGAATTACGAATGGAGAGAAACTTTTTCCTTTTAAACTACAATACAAAGTATAATAGCATAGACATCCTACAGAAAGCATAGATAACTATGTACAGAAACTAAAAATAAAAACGAGATGAAGCTAGCTTATCATCTATAGTCAAGGCTATATGTTATTCATCATTAGCGAAGAATAATACGACCTTATTAGAGCACCGATGTTGGAGTTACATCATCTCACTCCAATAGTCCACAAAACCGTTGTCATCAAGGTTGGTCGATACGCGAAATTGAAAAATGGATGAGTTTATCGGCGCAAAAATAATAGATTGTTTCGGCAAGCTATGTTTTACATGAGAGATATCAATACTCTTTGTTTTGGTGAATGGAATTTTGAGAAGGAGGCAGAGATGGGAGAGTTATATATTGTGAAATGTAGAGGTTATGATATGGAGGAGATGAAGAGGGTTTTGATTTGAATGAGGAGTTAAAGAAGATTAATTGTGTCGTACGTGGTTGAGAAGGAAAATTATTAAATGTGTCTTTTGTGCTTTTAACCATTGTGTATTCACCTTAAATTCATCTATTGAGGAAAATCAAACGCAATCCTGTTGAAGAATCACCCAATATAAATCCTCTAACATAAGGTTTTCAGGCTTACTTGAATAGTAAATAATTTACAGATCATTGCAGTGCTCTTTATGCTTTAGTATTTTAGGACATCCATCCTATTATGTTCAAATTATGTGATGTGGAAATAAGAAATGATCATGCAAACTTAATTTTTAGTTTCTTACTTTCTTTCCTTCCTTTTGCTATTACCATAACTGAATTTGATGATGGGAGGTTACAAAAGTTTAAATAACATTTAGTACATAATTAAAAGTGCATTTGTTTCAAGTTTTAATTTATTGTTATTATCATAACCGGTATATTTAAATATTATGATTACCATAAAATAAAAACCATTTATACCACGTTTATGACTTTTAAAATAAAATAATTTGGGAGTTATGAGTATGCATTTAATTGGGGTTATGACTTACACGTTTATGACTTTTAAAATAAAATTATTTGGGAGTTATGAGTATGTATTTAATTGGGGGTTATGCTATGATTTTTGTATGGATGCATGGATGCATGTATTTTATGTATTATGAGTATGAATTTAATTGGGGGTTATGCTATGATTTATGTATGGATGCATGTATTTTATGTATGTATGTATATGTTTTAGAGGGCATTTTCGAAAGAAATGTTTTAACATCCCAATCCACTTTTATAATAATAATAATATTATTATTAGATTTAAGCAACAATAAAAGATAAACCTTTTCAACTTATGAGCTAGCTACAATCAAATGGCAAAAGCAATACATCTATTTACTATATTACCTACTATATAATTCTCACATATGCCAGTACGCATGCATTGTTGATTATTTTCAAGATATGTATGTGATTCAGAGTCTACATCCTATTAGAACCTCCCGTGTAGTTAGAGAGGTTCTGATCCATTTAGCTTAAAAAGAAGGGATAGTTTGGTAATTCTGTCATCATCTTTGGCTCAAACCCCCCACGTGGTGGGTGGCGTGGCTGTGAGGCTGGCGGGGGGGCTTCTGACTGGTGTCCTAGTCGCACGCCTAAAAATACGTGGCGGCTTCTTTTTTCATGCGGCATTGGTTAATTAAACTAAGTATAGCCCAACAAGCAAGCCCAGGCCCAATCTCCTTCTCAAACGCTTCATATTCGAACCCAAATCAACGCTCACAGTCTCACACTCTACTCGAAAGGCCCAGATGTGGCTCCCGCAGCGCTCCTCTAAAACCCTAAACCCCCTCTTCCACCACCTTTAAACCCCTCTCCACCGCCGCCGCCCCGCCGCCGCCGCCATCACCACCTCCGACGACCCCCTCTCCCCTCCCTTCCATTACCTCGACGGCTTCCCCCGCCCCAAATCGCGCAGGCACGGACCAGCACGCATCGTGCTCGCGATCCCGAGGCCGAAATCGGGGAAGAACATCGCAGCGAAGGAGAGAAAAGTTGGGAGAGTCCCGAGCATCCTCTTCGAGCAGGAGAATGGGCAGGAGGGCGGGAACAAGAAGCTGATCTCGGTCCAGACGAAGCAAATCAAGAAGCTTGTCGATCATCTTGGGCGGTCATTTTTTCTTTCGAGGTTGTTTGAGGTTGAGGTTAGGTCGGAGGACGGGGTGGTTCTTGAGAAGATTAGGGCGCTGCCACGAAAGGTGATTTTATTTTATTTTTCTCTTTTTTTTTTGGATTTTATATTTTGAATTTTGAAGTTGTGAATTTTTCTTAGATTTTAAGTGACAAGTCACTGACAGAAGGAAAAGACGGTAAAAAGATAGAATTTTAGCTGATTTGAAGTTAGTGATTCCATCTTTTCTTAGTTTATCATTGGGGATAGGACCGATAAGACTGAATGTCATGATCACGAGGCGAGGCCGAAATCTGGGAGGAAAATCACATTGAAGGAGAGAAAGGTCAGGAGAGTTCCAAGCATCATCTCAAGACAAAGAAGATCGAGGTTTTTTTAGTGATGTTGTTTGAGTTGGATGGTAGGTTGGAGTTTGGGGAGGATGGAAAAGTGGTTGAGAAGATTACAGTGGTTTCCTGAAAGGTGATTTTTTGCTTTAACTTTGGTTCGTATTTTAGGGGTTTGAAGTTTTAGCTTGCATGTTATTGTTAGATTTTAAGTGGCAAGTCACTGATAGAGGGAAAAGGTGGTGAAAATGCTAACTTTAGCTATTTTAAGTTAGGACTTCCATCTTTTCTTAGTCTATCATCCCAAGCACAATGCTATCCTGAGGCCTAACCAGGGAAGAACATTGCAGCAGAAGAGATAAGGTTGGAGGAGTTCTGAGCATTCTGTTCAAGCAGGAAAATGGGCAGGAGGGAATAAGAGACTGATCTCGGTCCAAAAGAAGCAGATCAAGAAGCTCGTAAATCATTCAGGAGATGGCTTTTTCTGTTAAGGTTGTTTGAGTTAGATGTTAGGTCGGGTTTGGAGAGGAGGAGGGAGTTGTTGAGAAGATTAGGACTCTAAAGGTGAGGGATTCATAGAGTGAATTAGTTGAGATTATTATTGATTTTTTATGGTCAACTATGATTCTGTGAAGTTTTGTGGCTTAAATTTTAGGGTTTCAAACTAGTTGTTAATGATGTTGCATGCATATTCTGATAATGTAATCATTCGATAAATACCTATTGAAAATGAACACTCATCAATACCATTTTCTCATATGAAACTATGGCTAACTATGGTTCTGTGTGGTTCTGTGGCTTAAATTTTAGGGTTTCAAACTAGTTGTTATGATGTTACATGCATATTGTGACAATGTTGTGGTTTGATAAATGCCTATTGAAAAGGAGCACCCATCAATATCATTTTCTCATTGGAAACTTAAAAAAATAATGAAAACCGAATACCCATGTAACTTTTTTTCCTAATCATCTAAATAATAAAGGAGCTAGGTATGGATAAAAAAAACTAGAATTTACATAAATAGTAGCTATTTCCAAAGAAGCTAGCTTGGAAATGACTGACATGTGTTATATTTCTACAATCATAGTTCAAACTTAACATGATATTGTTTAGATTTAAGTGGCAAGTCACTGATAGGGAAGAAAATGTCAGTAACAAGCTGGAGCTATGAAGCCTATGATTTTATCATCTATTTAGGTGGGAAGTACTTTATCTATTTTAAAGCTAGGACTTCCATATTTCTTAATGTAAGTTATATTTTCGTTATGGGCCTTTTGGTTAGTGAAATATTTTTCGAGCTAAGTTGATAAATATGAATTAGGTGGCTACTACTGCTTATAGGTTCTACTATATCCTCTCGTCGAATTGTTAGGTTCCTGTGCTTAGTTCTAATAGGTGAACATATATTGTTATTTGAAAATCATCAACTTTAAATTTAATATGGATACTAGCTGATCTTTTCAAATACAAGTGATAAATAGAAAGAAGCATGAGATCAGCCTTTAATTCTATGCTTGTTTATGTTAGCTCATTGAAACAAGAATACAAAATCTCATCACATCAGTCACTGCATTAATAATTTTAAGATCAATGAGTTATTGTGTACATTTCATGTCTGATACATGAAATTTGGAAATGAGAACTCCCAGATTCTGTGGATATACATGAAAATAGCTGGAAAGTCAAAGTGAGAAAGTCTCTTCATATTTTTTTTTATTTGAAAAGATAATAAATTTTTGGTTACGAAGTGTGGTAACTCGCACAGCTTGCCTCCCCAGCCAAACATCCCCCCCCACCTAAAAAAACCCCGCAAAAAAAAAACACTTCTTTTTAACCCTTCACCACTTTTCTGATGATATTTTTTCCATTAACGTTCGACACTCTAGTAAAGAGAGAACATGTCATGGAAGTTCTTGCTATATCTCACAGATTTTGCTTTCTGCCTATGTGCAAAAAAAGAAAAAGAAAGAAAAAAAAAAAGATTTTGGGATATGTTTTCTGGATCATCTGATGTGGCTTCTTTTTTGCTATTTCTAGCTGCATCTGCATGCGGGCACTGATGCTGTTCTTAACGTGACATTCTTAAGAGCTCCTTCAAGTGCATTGCTGAAGGTGGATGTTCCTCTTGTATTTCGAGGAGATGATGTTTGTCCTGGACTTAGAAAAGGTATGCTATTCTTAAGAGCTCCTTCAAGTTTCATTATATAGTGTTCATGTCATGTTCAGACATTGATATCATTCATACTGTTAGCATTTTTGTTGTATATTTCCTGTTTAGCTCTTGAGGTACAAGTCTAATATATCATATATCAATTCTTGTGCTTAGTAAGAATGCCAAACTTTTTTTTGAGGAATTAATGTCAAACATTTAGAGCCTTAGTTCTTGCACAATTGACAAGTATAGCAGTTTCACATGAAACTAAGTGAACAATGCCATCTGGTTTTGAATGGGTTAACTCTTCACTAGGTTGATGTTGTCTTGGTCAGCTCCAGGCAAATGATCTGTTCTACTATCAATTGATGTTTTTCCTAGCAGGTAGTATAATGCTCTTTGACAATATACATTTTCTTTTCATTTTCATAAAAAATATTAAAATATCATGTACAACTTAACATATTAAAATCTTGTACAATTTGATAAATTCCCTTCTTCTGTGCCTTCAATTACCTTGGGTTCTTGTGAAGTTATTTCATTGGGATTTTTTAGTATTATACCTTGTTGCTTCAATATGTTTATTTTAACAATTTCATAAGATTCATCAAACTACCTTTTTATTTAAGAAAAACACCTTTTGTGAGCCAATCTAGAGGTCACACATAGTAATGGTCTGGATAATGTCAAAACTGCATTTATTAACAATACATCATAGTTAATCTCGAGGTTGCACACTGTAACAGTCTAGATTATGTTAAAACTGCATTTATTCACAGTACATTATAGTATTAATATTAACTCTCATTGTTCATGAGGTCATAAGTTTTCTCAGTGTAGGCTTGGATTTCCTCGCCCTTGCCTTGCCATTGAATATGGGAATATGGGGTTAGGACTTGGGTATTCCATATCTTTGGAGCATGCTCTGATGGTTGGTTCGCTATTGTTTGTTTTTCGACAATGGCATTCTTCCCTTATCGCGTGAAGCTGCATTGGTAGTGACATTGTTTTTTGTTGCAGCTGGTGGAGTTTAGATGTGGTCCTGTGGATGATGGTCCCTCGGATAGTTATTATATGACTCTTTCTAGACCCCTCAGACTGAGAATTGGTTGAAAACACCCCTCTAGCCTTCATGACTTCCTCTTCGTGACACTTGACACTATGACAACTTCGTTGTCGTCATCCTTAGTTGTAGGTGATACAAAGGTGCAGAGAGGGCTAATAGCAGGCACTGGAAACTGACTCGTAGCACCAAGTTGTGCCTAATAGGCTGAAGGGTAAGTGGTAATTGAGCGGATGTTATGATCTAAATAAACCTGATTGTGATTGTCGACATTAGAACCTGATTCATAGCACCAAGTTGAACCAAAATAGGTTGAAGAGTTAGTGACACTTGAGCGGGGATTGACATCTGAATAGGCCCTATCATGATGGTGATGAAATTGTCAGAACTCTGAATATACGCCATAGTAACCTTCAGAAGGGAAAAGAAGGATTAGGCAACCACAGAATTTTCGAGTTAAACATTATGCTGTCATATTCTTATGTTTATATATGACCAGTATCCCTAAGATAGTAGAGAATCTATCTCTAATATCTAACTTTCCTTTTTAAAGAAAAAGATTGATCAACTTCTTGACGATAGAGGAGCTATGGTCCATTAGATAAATTATAATTGTTAGGAACTGTATTTGATTCTGAAATTGGGGGTTCCTATGATCACATTAGCCAATAAATGAAGATGGTAAAAGATGAACTGGACCAGAATAATTAACCCTAGGAAATTAAAACATTAATGCCAAGGTAGTTGGTCAATTCATGCTATATTAATAATGTTTGTAAAGTTTTCTGTTGCTAATGTTCCATTGAGGTCTGACAACCAAATTGCATAGACCTTGATAAAAGCAAAATCTTAAGCTATTTGTCCACTTTGACTGAAAATAGTTTCAGTTAGGCAAATTGTATAATGTCCAATTGTATATTCAACATATGCACACCTGACATTATTTGTGATGTTCCATTGAGGTCTAACAACCGAATTGCATGGACCTTGATAAAAGCAAAATCTTGAGCTACTTGTCCACTTCGACTGAAAATAGTTTCAGTTAGGGAAATTATATAAAAATAATATAATCATCTAGGAAATGTATGTTCAAGAGCAAAATCTTAATAGAAAATCACAATAAACATAGCTATAATCCAACAAATAAAGTACTAAACTAAGTATGCATTTTTATCATAACGATCTATTACTATTTTTCACAACTATAATTAAATTATAAAACTAGTATAAACTATGATTAAACTTTTATTAACCTGTGATGATTGTCTTTCTTCCCGTCCTCTACCTTTCTCCAAGTTCTATTTTCTAACTAATGTGGGATATGTTGGATTTAAGCAAATGAGATCAATTCATAACTTTTGTGTTCTAAACTGAAAATTTCATTCTAATCATGCATAATTGACAAGTGTAAAGGAGTTTGTTGTGACTGTAGTGGGAATAGTTTTCAACATAATTACTGCGTAGTGTTTTTGTAACTAAAGAAAGAAAATCTAGAGATCATTCATGCCTTTATCCTCATGATTTGGCAGTTATATTGTTGCACCTTCTTCAGATTGTACTTCCTTCTTTATGTTTGTGACTTATCTTTTGTTGTAAAATTAGGTGTGATTTTATCATTGTTCTCATGTGGAAGAGTCCACATGTGCTGTCAACTATCATTATTCTTTTCTTATTAGTTATTATTTCCATACTCTCCTTAAAGACAATGCCCATGCCAACCATCCAACTTTGGTCATTTTTACGCTTAATATAACTACTACTAATAATAAGATGCTTACGGTGATAGTATACCTATAAGCAATAGATTAGATATAAGATATTGATGATGATGTGATATTATTTATTATTGTCAATTGAGATTTTGTCGAGGGCATTTCAAGAAGAAAGGTTTTAACCAGTGTTTTAAATGTCGGCTGTCATGTTGGACATGTCGACCGACATGACGGATTTAGGGACTAACCGACACGATATGGTGATTTTCAATGCGTATTACGTTTTCAGGATTCATGTTGGATATATCGGGGGACATCATATATATGTCGATCGGATATATCGGGTGACAGATATTATGCTTATCTAATTAGGTTTGGATTTAAATTCCTGATTGACTTAATATTGCTTCTAAAGACAAAATCTAATCAATTGGGGGGAAAAAGGACCGAAGTCATTTCCGTCGCACCTCTTCTATCTCCTTTGACGTCTGTCTCTTTTCCGAGTTGTTCCTTCGACATCAATATCTCTCTTCTTAACTACCAACATTGGGCTTCTCTTTTTTCACCTTTATCCTTCAGCATTAACCATAAGCATAATAAGTTATTTATTTTTAATATGTTTAGATAATAAAATTTATTAAGTATATTTATATTTCATTTATGATATTATATTATACATGCACACTATTCGTTATGGCAATCCAATATTTTTTATGCCCCTCGACATATCCTCGATTTTAGCTATCTGGCATAAATTTCAATCGTCCGATATGAACTCAATATCTGACATTTAAGACATTGGTTTTAACAGAGGAGAAAATTTTACAACAAAATATATGTACTTAACCTCTCATGATAATCTACTACGCTCTCCAACTCTCTAAGTCTAACATGAGCCAGGTCTTTAAGTCTTTAGAGACTCTTTGTTCTTGCTTAATTTCAGGCCAGAGGTTTTGTCAGGTTTTGTCACTATCGATATCATTTCCTACAATTTACATCAGCTTATATAGCTTTTATAATCAAGCATATGTTGCACCAATCAAACCAGCCGTATCATATAATAAAGGATCAGTACATGTACTATAATCAATGAATGATTCAAGTCAACTAGCTTGGTTATCAACATGTGTTATAATCAAGGCATGACAAAAGGTTAATAATACAGCAACACTTGTTGAGGAATTGGACAATACATATCTAATTGTGGATTCTAATAACTTCTTGGTAAGGCTCCGTTTGGAGAATATCATGAATTATCTGTGTTTTTGGGGTATCTTAACTTTGTTTGGATAATGAAATCACAACTTATAAGGTGATTATCCCACAATAACATCATGATGTCGACAATTTCTACTCTGAGTTGAAATTTTTGTCTCATGTTTTGAACATTATGATTTGCAAAAAAACTATGATTTTGGCAGGATTAGCTAAATGAATGTCTTATCATTGAACACACTTGTTTGCTTACTCTTGCATTTGGCAACATGCACATTATGATGTGTACATATGCGGGATGTGTTTGGTTGCATGCGTACTATCCGTACATGTAGATGAATATGTTATGTGTGATACAGTTGTGTGTGTATACTCAAGCATGCCTGTCTCTGTGTGAATGTGTGGGTAGGCTACAGATGAGCTTTTGTTCTTTTTCCTTTTTTTGGTGACAATGCTTTTTTATTGTTTTGTTTTTGTTTCTTTAGAGGGTGTTGTTCATAGATAATAGCTGGATGTCAGCAAAACATAAAGATTAGCAGATATGGATTTACATCATAGTACATGGTTAGCTAGATGAGTTAAACATGCATGATGCATGCAACTAAGACATCCACTCTAAACACCTCTTTCTTTTTGTACTTCTTACTTGTAAGGAAAAAATTGGCCTTGTTCCTTAATCTCTGTAAACTCAAATGTATTTTAAAGGCATAATAATAATGGTACATTAGAAAGGTAACCCCTAACTGTGTTGAGAGTAAATAATGAATTTTTGACAATAGTTATTATTGGAACATTAAACGCCACATAGCTTGCTAGTTGGTTCAACCATTTAGCATTTTGTTTCATGCTTCAAGAATAGAATTGTATCCTCTTCATTTTTTGTGTTTCTATACTACCACAACAACAAAACTATTATTAGCATATAACTTAGACCATAACTATAAATTGCATTTTATCATTGTCAACATTGCATCCTACTATTGTCAGCATCTTATTGGCACAAAGAAACAACAATTCTCTTTGCA